GATTATGATAATAATGAAGTATCGGAAAACAAGGTTCTGACTATGGCATGTGATGATTCGAGATGTTCTTGCACAATTAGATCAAAACGATGCAATAGAAAGATTTAATGAGAAGCCAATAACACAATGGACAAATGAGGAAAAGCTTCAGGATCGTAAATCTCTTTATCAAATTCACTTACACATATCAAATAAAATTTTGTAACATGTGTTAAAGGAGCAGACAACTGCTTCGTTGTGGGTGAAGTTGGGGCAACTACACATGAAGAAATTGTTGACCAACAAGTTGCACCTAGAGTAACATCTTTATTCGCTCAATTTGGTAGAAGGTTTTTCTTTTGAAGAGCACCTGACCGCATTCAAGGAAGTTGTTTCCAATTTAGAAAATTTATAAGTGAAATATAACCAAGAAGACTTCTGACTGATCCTCCTATGTTCATTGTATCTTTCATACTCATCTTTCAGAGATATGATCTTGTACAATTGTGAAAAATTCACTCTTGAAGAGACGTACAATGGCCTACACTCGTTCGATAAGATGAAGTATCTAGTTTTAAGCCCCAAACAGAGGGTCTCTTAATGCATAGATCGACTAGCTCAGATCGAAGAAGAAAAGACGAGCATTCTTCTTGTAGTAAAGGAATGGACATATCAAAATCATCTAACTGAGGTAAAACGTGTTACTTCTGTAAAAAGAAAGGTCATATTATAGCAATGTGTTACAAGTTGCAGAGTAAGATAAACATATATGCTGAAGAGCAATCTGCAGATAGATCTCTCATTGCAGATGTTGCAAAAGATATTGAGTGCAAACACTTAGTGGCTTCTGATGATAATGCAAAGGAAAGAGAAGAATGAATCCTTGACTCTGGGTGTATCTATCACATGTGTCCCAATCGCGATTGGATTGTGATCTATGAAACTATATCAGTAGGTCTTATATTGATGGGGTAATACTGTATCATGTAAGATTGCAAGAAATGGCAATGTCAAAGCCAAGATACATGATGGCATTGTCATAACCCTGAGTGATGTTTACCACATTCCAGATTTCAAGTGTAATATGATTTCATTAAGTACTATCAACAGGAATGTGTATAAGTACACTACTGAAGGTGGAGTTTTGAAGGTTGGAAAGGGCTCGTTTGTTGTGATGAAAGTGAAGAAAAAATGGAAGGTTGTATGTTCTCTAGTGGTATACGATTACTGGTGATGCTATTGTTGCATCATTCACATTGTTAGAGGAAGATGTAACCAAGCTTTGACATATGTGCCTAGGGCATATGAGTGAACTTGGCATGTTAGAGTTGAGTAAAAGAGGTCTCCTTGATGGTCAATAAATTTGCAAGCTAGATTTTTACAAACACTGTGTATTTTGAAAACATAAGAGAATTCATTTTACCAAAGGGATTCACAATACGAAAAGGTACCCTTGACTAGGGTTATTTTGATCTATGGAGACCATCTAGATTATCCTTTCTTGGAGGTGCAAACTACATGTTGACAAATCATTGATGACTATTCTAGAAAGGTTTTGGTCATTTTTCTTGAAGTAGAAAAGTGATGCGATAACCACATTCAAGAACTAGAAGACAATGATTGAGAAGCATACTAGAATGCAGCTTAAATGTTTACGTACTGGTAATGGTTTAGAGTTTTTTTCTGAAGAATTTAAAGAGTTATACAAGAAATAATGGATTGTGAGACACTTTATGTTCTATCATATGCCACATCAAAACTATGCTGCTAAGCGGATGAGTAGAATGATAATAGAGAGGGTTAGTTGTAAACTCTTGAATGCTGGTCTATCAAAGTCATTCTGGGCTGAAGCGGCTTCACTAGTATGTTTATCTGATTAACATGTCTTTGTCTATGACCATTGACAAAAAGACTCCACAAGAGGTATGGTCTAGTAAGCCTTTAGATTATTTTGATTTGAAAATATTTGGTTGTCCTACGTACGCTTATGTAAAAAATGGTAAATTAGAGCCTAGATCCATAAAGTAATCTTTATAGGATATAAGTTGAGAGTAAAATGCTATAAATTATGGTGCCTCAAAATTAGAAAGATAGCTAGTAGTAGAGATGTGATATTTTATGAATACTCTATGTTGTGTGGGTCACCCTTAATGAAACTACCAAGAATTCACAAGAATCAGAGATCGTACAAAATAAAATAGAGATTCAGTTTGAAATAGGGTTTGGATTTGATATACTCGCAGAGAATAGAACTCCATCATAACAGTCCGATCCACTGTCATCTATTCCATGGAATAGACCCTAAAAAGAAATCAAGTGATCTCAAAGGTGTGTGGAGGCTGATTTAGTCACATATGCTTTGAATGTTGCGAAAGAAATCAATATGAACCAAGAGTCATCATCTTATTCAGAGGAAATTAGTTGCGAAGACTCAGATAATTGGATGATCACAATACATGAGGAAATAAAGTCACTTCACAAGAATAATACTTGGAATTTAGTGAAACCTCCCAGCATAAAGCGAGACATTCATTGTAACTGGGTGTACAAAAAGAATGAAAGAATTTCGGGATTCGAAAAGCCCAAATACAAGACAAGATTGGTTGTGAAGGGGTTCAACCAAATCCTAGGAATTAAATTTAATGACGTGTTTTCTCTGATGATAAAACATAGTTCTATTAGAGCTTTTCTTGGAATAGTTGCTATGAAAGACCTTGACCTTGAGCAGCTAGATGTGAAAATGACGTTCTTGCACGACAAACTTGAAAAAGACAGGACATGAAGCAACCAGAGGGTTTTCATGGTATCAAGAAAAGAGGCAATGATTGTTTAATGAATAAATCTCTTTATGGATTTAAGTAGTCACCTACACAATTGTTTAAGAGGTTTGATTCTTGCATGATTTCTCTTGGTTTTAAGCGAAGAAATTTTAATAGTTGTATTTACTTTAAAAAAGGTCATGATGGTTTGCTTATATATCTACTTCTTTATGTTGATGATATGTTTGATAGTTGCAAATAATATAGATGATATTAAAGTATTAAAGACCCAACTTAATAAGAAGTTCGAGATAAAATATATAGGTCCCACAAAGAATATACTCAAAATGTAGAATAGAAAAGACAGAAAATCAAGTAAATTATACCTAAGTCAAAAGGACTACATTGAAAAAGTTCTTCGCATGTTTAATATGTAGAGTGAGAAGCATATGAGCACTTCACTGACAATTCACTTCATACTTTCATTGGATTGTTAACCAGAATCAAAAGATGAGATAGAGTACATGTCACATGTTTCATATTCAAGTGTATTGGGATGTATGTTATGATTTGTACGTGTCTAGATTTAGCATATGCTATGAGTTCAGTGAGGAGATACATTATTAATCCTAATAAATAACATTGGAAAGCTGTCGAATGGATTTTTAGGTATCTTCGGAGTACTAGTGATGTTTTCTTGTAGTTTTGGTGAACTAGAGATAGAATTGTGGGGTATGTTGGTTATGATTTTGCGGGATGTCTAGATAAGAGGATATCACTTACAGGAAATGTCTTCGCGATTGTACGACCTGTCATTAGTTGGAAAGCTACTCTACAAAGCATGATCACCTTGTCAACTACTAAAGCATAGTAAATGGTTATCACTTAAGCTTGTAAATAAGCTATCTAGTTGAAATGACTCTTTGGTGAACTTAGTGAAGACATTCATATCAATATGGTGTTTTGTGACAATCAGACTGCTATATTCTTAGAGAAAGATCAAATGATTCATGAGCGGACGAAACATATTGATATTCACTATCACTTTGTGCGTGATGTAATTGCTCGAGGTGACATTGTTGTGAACAAATTCAGCACTCATTACAATCATGTAGACATGATGACCGAACAAGTTTGAGCATTGCTTGGACTTGGACAGTGTCTATTACTAAATATTACCCCTTTGAGGTGTGTTGTGGAAGAGGTGGAGAAATTGTTCGTTGATGTGAAGAATTATCTTTGTTGAGTTTGGGACTCTCATCGAATTTGGGTGTTTTGTATCAAAATCTTCGTACTTTCAGAATTTGTGTCAAGGTGAAGATTTTGTATAGTTTGACTCGAATTCAAAGTGACACAAATTAATTAAATTAATTGTGGAAAGTGTGGAACCTAGTTTGATTAAAAGTAAAAACTTTTTTTTCCTTTATGTAGAAAATCTACTTTAAGTATATTTCTACTTTATAAGTTTCCTTTGTAATAAAGTATATATCCCTATAAATAAATACTCAAGGGAGGGTTAGATATCAAGTTTTTTTTCTCTAAAATCCTCTTGTATTTTTTCTTCCTTCATATAAGTGATTCTTTTCTCTTTTGATTGTGATTTTTTCTCTTTTGGTTTTTCACGTAAATCTTGGTGTTCTTTATTTTTTCGATCATGTTTATTTATTTGTCGATAATCGTTCTGATATTATAACAATTATGAAATTAAAAACTGTGTCTTTGATCTTTTTCTATATATTTATAGTCCTGTTGCTCTTGTCTTGGTTTATAGAAAATGGAATTCTTTACTTGATGTACTCAGTTTCATACAATCTGTTGGTTTGTTCCTTGCCTTCTCCTTGGGACTTGAAACAAAAGTCTGAGACTTTCTCTAAAGCTTGTCTCTTTTAAAACGAAGTATTGTCATGCTCTTCAAGCTGAGATTGACGCAAGTATAAACTCGGGAAGCCTTTTAAGAAAAGAATAAAACATTTCCATGTCTTGGAAAAACAGAGGAATGGAATATATCAAGTGATAAAAATAGATGCTATCCCTATCAGACAAGACATATCTTTGTAAAGATTGCTGAATTTTTCATAAAATATTATTGTCCCTTCACAAATGAAACAAGAAAGCTGAGAATGTAAATCTGAAGAAAGTGATGGGTGTCCTTTTCAAGGCACTGGACTCAAACCTATATATGCAGCCGGTATATCTAATGCGAGTAAACATCAGCAAAATCCCTCATCGCCTTCCATATCTATTGTTGTTTCACTGTTAAATATGGGAGAACAGAGGCAATTTTTTCGTTTCCGTTTGCCTTGGCTGTCTGCAGCTCCTGCTCTCCGTCCTGTAGCTACACCTCGTCCTGCTGCTGAACCGCAACCTGCTGCTCAAATGCAAGCCCCTTCCCGGCCGACTGTTTCCATCCCAATCCAACGTCCACCGTTTCGACCGGCGGGGATCACCCCAGCACAGACTAAGCCCAGCCAGGTTCAGAAAGAGCCACAACCACAACCTCAACCTGCAGCCCAAACAGAAGCCCCTTCCAAACGTCCACCATTTCGGCCTGCAGGGATCACCCCAGTGAAGCCTACTCCCACTCAGGATCAAGCACCACCACAAAGGACTGAACCTTGGCCAGTACCATCTCGTGCCCCCATACCGCCAAGGGTTGCCTCTATGTCTGATGGAGAATCCGCTTTTAAACCATTTGGTGTTGCTGCAAAGCCTTCAGAGGAATCAACACAATCAAAAGAAGTCGCACCAATCACTGCAGCGGCTAAAGAAATGCCAACAGCAGCAATAAAGCCCAAGGAAACGGAAGAAAGAAAGAAGGTTGCCGAAGAGCGCAGTAAAAGTTCAACCCATGAAAAGCCAACAGTTAGTACTAAACTTCTTTCGGCAGCGACTGAAGATGGGACTAAAACCAGAGAGCTATTGGGGGCTGCAAAGGAAAAAGGGAAGAGACACCCGAGAAAGGATGACGTTGAAAGAAAGACCACTGACGAAAGACAAATAAAATATTTAAGTTCTACATATCCCAAAGATCGTAGCAGGCCGAGTGATTCTGGTGAAAAGCATGTCGATTCTAAAGCTGAACAAGTTCCCCTGCACGAAGAGATCAGGGAAGATGTTAGCAAGTTTGTTCGGAAGCTGGTCACCAGGAAACCAAAGCTGGTCACTACAGATGAAAACCCGGTGAGCGTTATAACGCTAGCAGGAGAAAACAGTGGTGCATCTTTTCGATGTGATTCTTCGAGTGACGGGGAAGAAAGCTCAAGGGTAAGGCAGACTATGGATTCAATGATCAAAGAAAATGCAGCACCCAAAGCATATGTCAATAGCAACACACAGAGCATCAACAATTCAATTATGTTCGAAAGTTCTCTGGAGGGAAGTAATCCTGGCGTTCATCTGCACTTTTTCAATGATGCAAAGGCTGAGCCACCACAGGTGAATTTCAATCATTTTTCATTAAAAACGATTAACTTAAAATCTCATCTTCAGCAATCGTTATTTGACAAGAACAACTGAAATTTAGTTTGTTGCTCGACAAAAAGATTTTTAGATATAAAATGAGTTGGATTTGGACTCTAACATCTAAGTTAGAATAAGGTCTGACATGTAATTTTTATCATACAAAACCCAAACCACAAATCTGCCCTTGGATTTGAGCCTACACCTTTCACGTAAGAAACACTTGGACCCAATCAGATATTATTTATGCCATGCTATCCTTATCATTTCCCATCCTTCACTTTCATCCATAAATAATGCTCCCTTTCACTTATCATCACTTGACCGGCTCGAGTTTCTGTTGCTGAAGAATTCTTTGATAGCCGAAAAGAGCAAAGTTTTAATCATTGGAGGCACCGGATACATCGGGAAATTCATAGTTGAAGCCAGTGCAAAAGAGGGTCATCCCACTTTTGCTTTAGTAAGAGAGAGTTCCGTTTCAGATCCTGTTAAAGGAAAGCTTGTTGACAACTTCAACAACTTAGGGGTCCAACTGTTGTACGTAAGTATTTTCCAGTTCTTGTTCTGAGGTGAAACATGAACAAGAATCCATGTCTGTCAAATCTTCTGGTGATGGTCTTATTTTGTTAGTGTTGTTGTTTTGTGGGCATGCAGGGGGATCTCCACGATCATGAGAGTTTGGTTAAGGCTATAAAGCAAGTTGATGTGGTGATATCTGCTGTGGGTGAAATGCAATTGAAAGATGAAGCTAAGATCATTTTTGCCATTAAAGAAGCTGGGAATGTCAAGGTTAGTGTTGCCCACTTAGCTGGGATTATTAGTAAGATTATTATAATGTATGCATAACAGGCATTTGTTTGGTGGTCTTTGATGAAACCATTTTTGTTCCATTCTAATGGATTTTAGTTTGTTTGATCAGAGATTTTTCCCTTCGAATTTCGGAAACGATGTTGACAGGGTTCATGCCATTGAACCGGCAAAAACAGCATTTGCTACAAAGGCTCAAATCCGTCGTGTTATTGAGGCAGAGGGAATCCTTTACACTTATGTGGTCAGTAACTGCTTTGCAGGTTATTTTCTTACCGGTTTAGCACAGCCAGGAGCCACTGTTCCCCCACGAGACAAGGTGGTTATCCCGGGTGATGGATATCCTAAAGCTGTTTTCAACTACGAAGGTGATATCGGCACATACACAATCAAAGCTGTTGATGACCCCAGAACATTAAACAAGATCCTATATATTAAGCCTCCTAAAAACACCTACTCATTCAATGAGCTTGTTGCTTTGTGGGAGAAAATGATTGGCAAAACACTCGAGAAAACTTATGTTCCTGAAGACCAATTTGTCAAACAGATTCAAGGTTGGTGAAATCCCCTGCTCTTTATTCTTATTCAAAACTACTGCTAATCAAAGAAAGTTGACAGCAGATTAATCTTTTCCCAGATGCAGTCCAAACCAATTTGTTCTTTTGTTATTTCATTTTCAACTGTGCTAATTCGTGTAGTTCCATTTTCATCGATTCTTGCAGAGGCTCCATTTCCGAACAATGTTTTATTGGCAATCGAACATTCCGTCTTTGTGAAGGGTGATCAAACCAACTTTGAGATCGAACCGTCATTCGGAGTCGAAGCTTCCGAGCTTTACCCCGATGTGAAATATACAACCGTGGAGGAATATCTCAGCCGTTTTATTTGAGAAAGAAATTGAATCATTACTCTGTCATTAAATAATACCATAAATAATTGTAAGTTTCTTGCTATCATCACAACAGAATGTGAACCAGGCTGTTCTAAATTACTATATAATATATGAAGAGAAACTCTTTGTTTACTTGGTTATATAATTTCCATATGAGCATTGAATTTACTTCATCTACTCTACCCAGTTTTGCATCAACTGTTTACCTACCTCTAGTAATCAACTTTCGAAAGAAAGAAACATTCAGAAAATAAATAAATATGTAGAATTTTGTGCAGTGGGACTCTGTGTACAAGGTTAAGGAATCTGAAGGTTAGCCTTTTCTTATTCTTGTACATGTTTTACTTTGATTAAATGGCTTGAAATTCCTATTGAATTTAGTTGACCCTGATAAAAAAGCCCATTGCTTTTCGAAATACTTCACAGCTTTCAATTTCCGGACGCCAGCTCCATTTTAGATGTTCAGTTGTATCTGCTTCCATTTGACTCACAGATACGGTTCCATTGCTTACTTGTTTCACTCCGTGTCCAATCATTTTCCAATCCCTTATTCCCTCAGTTCTTTGACCTGAAAAATATACAACAGAAGAAGTCAACAACACATTACAATACATATGTATGTATGTATTTATGTATGTATGTATGTATGTATGTATGTATGTATGTATGTATGTATGTATGAGGTTTTCAGCTCTTAGGAATCCATTCAAAGCTGGGATTGGAGGACTGTTGACCAGAGAACAAGTGTAGGAGTCATAATTGTAAGAGCAGCCCAGAAGACGAATATGACAACAAAGGTTCTTTCACTCATTTTTCCAGGGAAAACAAGTTCAAAGCTTTCTTTGTGAGAGGAGATATAGGGATGGGAGAAAGAGAAGAGAGACATAAATCCTTTGACAAATTAGCTGGCCATGTTTAAGGATCTATGTTATCATAACAACTTAATACTATAATATTCAAATTCTTATAATATTGTTATCTTAATCAAAGTCGAGTACAAAGCATCAAACTTGTGGAGAATATGTGGGTTAGTTGTTGTTGGGGAGTTGTTATTTAAGATCATGATTAGGCATCCATCTGTCATTTTGATATTATCTCACTCAGCTTACACAAACTGCCATTTAGAACCTGATAATTGGCTACTTATTGAAAAGCCTTGAATATTGAGATATCAATGCTCAAGAGATTCCTGGGACCTTTTCACTGATGGCAATGAAATAATGGGCCAATGGCCTTGGCAACCCTTAATAAAATTGGGCTATTACTGCAGACCCAATAGCGAAAAAACCAGAGTTGGCTGGCTGAGGGAGGCCCACGCTCTGCATCGAAGCACCATTTGATTCATTTCGCCATTTCCAGCTTTGTTTCTGAATCCGGAAATACTCCCATCTAATATAACCCTTTTATAGGTCATAGCTCAACTAATTAACTAACATATATCTGCCTAACTAATTATAACCATGGATTAAATAGCGATCATCACGATCAATATGGGTGTCGCGTTCTTGAATTTTTTTAAATTTCACATAACTCATCTTAAAACATAATAATTATAATTATAATTATAATTATAATGAATCATTTTTTAATGATTTTTAAAATATTAAATATAGGACTTTAGGGTGGGAATGGGACGGCCCAAAACAATCTTTAAGACTTTAGGAGTTTGAAAACTTCAAAGCTTTTATTCTCTGATTTTCTCCTAAATCCCATCCCAACTCCCAAGCTTGAAAGCTCTGTTAGTCAGTGGTGGTCACCGTCTGTTGGCAACGATGTACACAAAAAAATCATCTTTTCTTTCTAAACTTAGATATAGGGATTTTTTTCAAGACAAATCATCTAAAACCTTTGATAGTATAATTTTCTTAATTTTTCACCTTCGCTGGAAGCTCATTCCGTTAATCCTAAACTTCTTCACTGGCTCAATGAACGCAGAATTTTTCTCCAAAACAGTTTTGTTTTGCCGGCTTGTCCCCTTCCCATTTTAATCTTTGGTGAGTCTTGATCTTGATATGCTCTCTACATTTTGTTTTATAATTTTAAAGTGTATACAGAGATTTTAGAGTCTAGAATTTGAGTTTTCTTTAAAAAAAAATTGCACTAATGGTGGAATAACGTTAATAACATCTTATTGTCTTCGCTATACATAGTTAACCATTAAATTACAGGTGCGATAGACCGCTATCGACGTAAACCGTTATTCACCGTTAAATTCGTAGCGTAAACCGTTATTCACCGTTAAATTCGTCAATATAGGTCTCAGACAACATCCGCTATAGTATTTTTGTTCCGCTATAGTATTTTTGTTCCGCTATTTGAAACCTGATCATAACAATTTAACTGTCTGTTAGTTAGCTAAATCATCTAACCTTAACTGCTAACATTCACCCCGTTTCCTTTGAAACTGAATTTGGACATCTCCAATCTTCCTACACATAACTTTTGTTGAAGGCCACCAACTGGCCACCAACTTTGGAAGCTCGAAGGGGCTTAGTGACAATATCTGCCACCTGAGCTTATGCGGGAACATAATTCACCTGAAGGTCTTGTGCCAGAACCTTCTTGCGAATAAAATAAGTCAAGATCCACATGCTTAGTTTCGACGTGCAAGACAGGGTTTACAGCCATTGCAATTGTGTTGGTGACTTGGTGTTACCACACTATATTACGGGAGCATGAGCGGGTGCCACTCATATCTCAAATAACAAAGCTCGAATCCACATAACTTTACATGTGGCATTTGCAAGGCTGTGATACTCAGCCTTTGATGTAGACTTGGAGATTGATCATAGCTCTTCGAGGTCAAGGACAGCAAGTGAGAACCAAGGTAGACACAGTACCCTAAGACTGATCGTCTGTCATCAGGGCATTACCCCACTCTGTACTAGAAAACGTTATAACGGTCACCAGTGCGAAATGTCGAGGGGAGAATAAGAGGCCATAATCCACCATGCTATGCAAGTGCCGATCGAAGAATTCTCTTTAGGACAAGTAGATGAGCATGCTAAGGATGTTGTATGTATTAACTTCGTTGAGTAAAAAGATGTTTGGTCGGGTGTGGTAGATGTATTGTCGAGCACCTACATCGCTTCTATATTGATGAAAATCCTTTAAATCTTCTCCACCATCTTGACTCAGTTTAGGTGTCACAACAATGAGAGTGTCTACTAATAGAAAGCTATAACTCTAGTGATTGGAGTTTAGATAAAGACGATGAAACAGAAGTTAAAAGATGAACTGTTAAAGGGAAAGTCTAAAAGAAAGAATATTTCATTTTTTTATTTTCATTAATATTGCCTTGACCCAAATACATATTAGATGGGTCTTTATATAACCCGTCATAAAATTTTAATCAATTCTACCAAAAGTTAACCAATCAGTTACACAATAACATAAATCTAACTTTCTAAACTGATATATCAATCGCACTAGCAGTAGTAAACTCTTATATCTTCCCAGTTCACTTTTCCCTTTTAAAGCCATCAAGTAGAGATACTACACCAAGCCTACAACGCATCCTAGAAAACTGAGCTAGAGGAATCAGCCAGGTTAGAATATTAGCGACTTGTTCTGTCGAAGGCACAAAGTTGACCAAACGTTGGCCAGCAAGAACTCATTCTCGCATAAAATGAATATCTTGTTGAAAATTTTGGATGGTAAAACTATGAATTAGTCATTGTAATTTAGGGTATTTACAAATTAGTCCTTAAAGCTTCAACTATAAATACCCTAGCTCATTTAGCTTCAAAACCATCCCAAAGAATTCTAGCTTTCTTCCAATACTAGAGAGAATTGAGAGAGTTTCTTGAGAGTTGTTTTCTCCTTTTTATCAAGAGAGATTTATCATTGTTTTCTCCTTGGTAGATCGAGAGATGTTGTAATTCCTATTTTCTCTCATAGTGAAATTCTTCTACTGTTGCCTGTGGTTTTTACCCTAAATTTTTAGGGGTTTTTCACGTAAATTTTTTGTCTCTTTTATCTTTATTTTTATTTTCTCAAATTATCAGTTGCGATTTTTGCTCTATCCGATAGCCGTCTTCCGCAACAATTGGTATCAGAGCTAGATTAGAGTGTGTAATATCTGCTTATTGTCTTTGTGGTTGCCACCAAAAGGTGGATCCTCCAACATAAGAAAGTAAGAAGTTATTACCCATTCTTTGAAGGTTCCAAAGAACTATTCACGATAGTGAAATAGTGGGAGCTATCCGTAAAAGAAGCTATGGCAAAGAAATTTGATATTGAAAAGTTCAATGGGAGAAATTTCTCATTGTGGAAATTAAAGATGAAGGCCATCCTGAGGAAAGACGGGTGTCTAGCGGCTATCAGTGAAAGGCCGGTGGATTTTGCAGATGACAGCAAATGGATCGAAATGGACGGAAATGCTATGGCAAACTTTCATCTAGCATTAGCAGATGAAGTATTGTCAAGCATCGAGGAGAAAAAGACATCTAAGGAGATATGGGATCATCTCACCAAAATGTACGAGGCTACATCGTTGCACAATAAAATTTTCCTTAAGAGGAAATTGTATACTCTTCGTTTGCCAGAATCTACTTCAATGACGGAGCACTTAAACACGCTGAACACTTTATTTTCTCAGCTTACATCCCTAAGATGTACAATAGGAGAACAAGAACGTGTTGAACTTCTACTTCAAAGTCTACCTGATTCGTATGATCAACATATCATCAACTTGACAAACAGTAATGTCACCAGTCTAGTCTTCGATGATGTTGCAACTGTTGTTCTACAAGAAGAAAATCGGTGCAAGAACAAGGAAGACAGACAAGTAAATCTGCAACAAGCAGAAGCGTTGACAATGATGAGAGGGAGATCAACGGAACGTGGCCAACAATCACAAACATGGTAGATCGAAGTCGAGGAGCAAGAAGAATTTAAAGTGCTACAACTGTGGAAAGAAGGGTCATTTGAAGAAGGATTGTTGGAGTCTAAATAAAAACTCCAATCCACAAGGTAATACCGCAAACACTTCAGATGATGGAGATGCTCTATGTTGTGAAGCGTCAACCACCGTGGAAGGAAGAAAAAGATTTGCAGATATATGGCTCATTGATTCAGGAGCAACAT